TAATATATAATATTCAAGATTAGGAAAAGTCCCAATCTTGAATATTATATATTATAGTTGGCCCTAAACTCTCTTTTATAATATAAAATAGAAAAAAAGAAAATTATCTATCACCCAAAAAAAAGGAGGACAAAATTTTCTCCCATGCTTAAATGAGACGTCTAATTAAATCTTTTTCTAATTTTTCATAACGCGAACTCAATGTTGACACCCAATTTTGGCCTAACATTTTCAAAATTCGTAACTTTTAAGTTTTATTTATTTAACAGTTCAAAATAATTTTTTTTATAATTTTATATAAGTTTATCGATAACTATCTTTATTTATCAAAATTTAGGATATTTTATCAGTTAATCTTAACATTGCATTTTTACATGTCATTAGTTACGTTCATTATATATTTTAATATTCATTTTATTTGTTATATTTGTTAATATTTATTTTGATATTTTGCACAGTCTAAAAATTCATTCAAATACAGATATTTTGTTTGATCGATAATTTTGAGCCACAATCCCAAGTTCACAATTGAGCTCATTTAACAATTATTTCCTATATAAGTTTTGGTTAGGTTAAAAAATAGGGGATGGGGGAAATATTTTTCAAGATAGGTGAAACCTAAGATATTTTCTATCATATTCTCAAAGTTGCTCCCTTCCTCCTTCCCTTCACCGAACAGCCGCCTGAGAACAGCCAACAACAACAACCAACAACTCTCTCCAAGCAACAGCAAACCAGACCCAAAAACGACAACTAGACCCCATGTTCTCTCTCCCGTCTGGCGAAGCCACACACCTCTCCCTCCCTTTCTCCATTTCCGGTCAACTCCATGTCGGAAAGACCATCACACCCATTTCCGACCAAAAGTGACCCCAAACCCAGCAGCTCAAACAATCCCCAAATACCAAACCCCTCTCCCGGTTCTGTTCGTCTCTGCCTCAACAACTCTGGCGAGGACCTTTAGCTCTGATGAACTGGAGCGAGCAGCGGTCCACTTCACCAACGCCGACACCAACTCCGGTGGACAAAGTCGGCGAGATCCAGTGACCAAACGAGCTCCAAGCTCTGAACCTCAGTCCTCCAGTGACCTCTCCGTCATTCTCTATTTCCTATGGTAGCACTCCAATCTTGATCTCCTCTTCATTTTATTACATTTTGGAGTTGTTAATGTTTATGTGTTAATGGGGTCTGTTCATTCTTATCTGTTTATATTGCTTTATTTTACAAATAAATTTGACCAGCAAGTTCAACTCCAATAATATTACTTTTGATGTTAGATTGCTTCTTGTCTGCCTCTCCATTTTTTCCCTTTATGTTTTCTTGTTCTTCACTTGAAATTTTATTCGGTTAGTGATTTTCTTTGGTTGATTATTTATTGTTCATTGTTGTGTTAATCTTGTTGGGTTGTTTACTACTCTTTATGGATAGATTTATATTGCTTTGAAATTTTGTAAGTTATGATAATTTGTTAGTGTTTGCTTTATTTTGTTTGCAATTTTATTTCCTTTTAATTTCATGCATTTTTTCCTTTAAAGAATTTTTTCCAGTAAGTTGCGCTATTACAATCTGATTACAAATTTTCTCATTCTTTCTATGTTTTGATTAATTTTGCGGTTACTTTAATTTTTAGTGATTGTGTTTATATTATTTTAATGATCTGGATAGTCTCTCTTTAATCATTTACTTGCTTTTATTTTCTTAACCATTCTATTTTTGGTTTGTTGTTTGGGGTTGTTTATTTAATTTATATTGATGTTCCTATTTTAGTTTGCATGAGATTATTCTAGATTTATTTATTTTCTAAGAAGTTACAGGTGTATGTTAGTTTATTATTTAATTATTATCATTTTATTATGTTTCATTAGTAGGTTGTTGCATCTTATATAGTTTATACTTCATTGTTCTTTTGTTTGTTTCGTGCCATTTTGTGGTTGAAAAATATAGAATTGGCCAATGAAAAAACTTCCCGTCGGTTTTCGAGCCTTCTTTTAAAAGACGAAAATTTAGTTTAAGTTAATATATTTTGTTCATTAAAATTGGCCAATGAAAAAACTCCCCGTCGGTTTCGAGGCCTCCACATTTTAAAAGACGGAAATTTAGTTTAAGTTAATATATTTTGTTCATTAAAATTGGCCAATGAAAAAATTTCTTCGTCGATTTTTGAGGCCTCGACATTGTCAAAGACGGAAATTTAGTTAAGTTCATATTTCTTTGTTTAATAAAATTGGCCGATGAAGAAATTACCGTCGATTTCTAAGGCCTCTCATGTTAATAAGACGGATGTTTATTTTTAAGTTATTGTTTAATTTATTTATTTTTAGTCATATTTATTTAGTATTAACACTTTTACTAAGTGTTTTTACAGGTACTCCGAACTCACTTCTCATCGAAGCCATTCGAATAAAGTTTGAATTTTATATTCATTATTATGTATATTGTTGACGATAGACAAATATTAGATCGTTTCTCATATTTACTTGTTTACTTTATTACTTGTGTATATTGCATGTTTGTTATATTTGTATAATATTTTTACATCCTTCTCAATTTGAAAAAATGAATTCAGTCGGGACCTACAGTTATGGATTTCGAAGGATGCCTAACACCTTCTCTTCGAAATAACTTGAACCCCTTACTTAGAATCTTATGGTTTCGTAGACATTTTTAATTGGTTTCCTAGTTTTTCCTAAAATTAGGTGGCGACTCTTTTAAAATTCTTATTTTCTTAAAATTCTTTTAAAATTGAATTAATTGATTATTTTTTGAGTCATCCCGACGTTTCGCCCTATTTAAATAACGTAGGGATGTAAACACTCAATACACCTATTTTACTAACGCCAAGAATTAATCGATCTCAATGTGCTCTCCATTATTATACAAGTAAAACCCGAGACGAAATACTTATGGTATACAGAACTAATTAATGACTCATAGTTGCACGCTTCCAGAGGTAAAAGAAAGTTTGAAGAGCTAATTAGTTAGATATCGAATGACATACATACAGTATAATACAACACAATACAATACGATGTAGACATAAATCAGCTACAATTCCCCAATCCCTGACATTAATCTACATAATTATAAGTCGTAATTTCTTTTTCTTTCTACTTTTTCTACTATATTAGAAGGAGTTTAGAAAAGGTATCACCATGTCTGCTCCATGTAATTCAATTTATTTCATTTTCTTACGTGTCTTCCCCATCTCTTTTACTGTATTTTTCACTTTCTTCAATGATCTTTTTATTTTTTCCTCCATTTTCTCTCACTTGAAGTATCTTCCAGCCTGTGATTTTTAGGTACGCTATTTTTGTTACTCTCTTCGTTTAAAAAAGAATGACCTATTTTCCCTTTTAGTCTGTTTAAAAAAGATTTTTTTTTTTTGTAACATTTTAATTTCAGCTTTCCACGTGGCATACTTAAAGCCACAAGATTGAATGACAATTTAATACATTTGACATAACTTTAATTTAGGACCACAAAATTTAAAAGTCTCCTTTATTTTCTAAAACTTCGTGTCAAGTCAAACTAGGTCACTCTTTATGAAACGAAGGGAGTACTTCTTTCTGTTGCTCTCCAATTCACTCTTTCCCCTTCATCTCTTAGATCCTCTTCGTTTGTTTGGGTGAGTTTCACATTGGGCATCTAATTTAATGGATTGATAAAGTTTTGATTGTGGAAAGAGAAGATAATAGAGGATTTTTTATTAGCCATTCTCCGAACTTTGAAGTCTAAAGTTGTTTGGAAACTGATATTGTAGTTTACAGAAATTGATACTTTTTATTTACATAAATTCAATCAAATTTCATTCTTTCGGTTTTCTTTTGAGCTGCTTCTTAGTGATATATATATATATATGTCTCGGTAGAGACGGAGCCAAGATTAGGAGCAAGGGGTTCTAAAGAGAAAATACAATTCACGGGCGAAAAGAAGTAATTCTGCGTAGATAAAGGAGGAGAAAAAAGGAAAAGGTTGATTTTAGCTACTTTCTTTACATTTTTATTGTTCTTGCATTTCGACTTCGATAAGTATCGTTGTTCTACCTGATTTTAGCTCAATGAGATGTTTTCCCTTTGTATGATTAACTAGAGTTTGACATGTATGTGATTACCATATTCATGGTTTAGTACTGGATGATTTTCTGTTAATGGAAGTTATAATTTAGACAGCTTTGTTACTATCATCTTCTTGTCATCTCATTTGGTTTTCCAAAGAGGTTTTTGAAGCAAAGAATATCTCATTCTGCCGCATATATTCCATTGTCTTCTCGCAAATCTTGATTTAAGAAAATCAAGAATATACACAACATATATAGTTGATGCTTTAAAAAGGTACGGCGCACACCTAACCCAACTCTACTGCTACTACACACTCTACATTCATCATTTAGACACTTCTATGTCAATTAACAAGCAACCCATCATTAATGTCTCTACAGGTTTTCATCAAGATTGGCGTCACACGAATACAAGATAAATTTGGACACCTAAATGATTGTCAAGCATAACACCACATGGCTATAACAACAACTTTGAAGAATCAGATCACTGCTGTCAATGATGTATTTCTGCTTTGCATATATAAATAGTGTGCACTTTAGCACGGCCAGTGTAATCATCAATTATTGATGATATATAATGTATGTGTGTAATAACCACACGTAACTACAACCAATAAATACGTTTTTCCAATTTCCAAATTTGCATTATAACATAATTTATATAAAATACAATAGATAAATATTGGGTATAAGACAAATGAGAACCAATTATCACCCCCAAAATAAGAGCATGGAGAGTATATGAAAGAGTACAGCTCTAACATTCATGAATTGATCTACGCCGGAGGATATGGACACATTCATTGGTAATGAACCTATATATATAAAATTAAAAAAAATGTGAATAATGATCAATAATATAAGAATTCTTTCTTCATAAGTACTTAATAATGTCAAAAAATTATATTTTAAAATTATTTTACTTACAATCTTGATCTGCCTAACCAATTCTCTGGTGAGCCAAATCATATACAATGCTCTTATCTCTAAGAGCAATATCTGTATAACAAGAGAAAGGAATATAATTAGTGTCAACCTAAATTATAATGCAAGAAATACAATTAGGGAATCAACAAAGAAAGCTCGCTAATTAATTAATTCTTCCTATTTAATTTTTGGATGAATTCACTAATTAATTCAATTTTGACTAAGGTCTTAACTCCAATGAACTATAATTGAAATTCATATGACCATTTCCTAATGCAAAATCTAACCATTTTTACTCATCTTAAACCTTTTTGTTTCAGGACCAAAATAACACCAATTTCAGTCCATTCTTACAATATAATATGGAGCAGTCCAACCCATATTACTAAAAAGCCCAGCAACAACAATACTTCTTCCGTTTCTATTTAGCTGTCACTATATAAGGTTTCACGTCCCTTAAAAAATTAGGTAAGTTTATCATCGTAGCCTAATTATTATGTATCAGTGATGATTAGCTCATTATTATTTAGCTTCTTATTAGTACATGGAACAAAGACTAGGATAACAAAAATTGATACACTTATAATTGTATTTGATTTCCTGTGTGTGTTCAAGAATTTGGATTTTAGGTGCTTAACTTCCTAGAATAGATCTAATATGATTGATATAAATTCATTCTTACTTTTGATTTTAGCTATGTTGAATTAATGGTTATGTTCTTCTTCCTTTACTAATCTTTATTATTTTCATGTGTGAACCTCCTCGGTTGGAGTCCTCCTTTGCATTTATGTTGGGTCAAGCCCAAGGTCCTTGTTGAGTCAGCCCCATCAGTGTGTTCGTGTGTGCAGGTCAAAAGAAAGACGATATACGTGAAATGGAAGCTGAAATAGAGGTCTCGGAAGGCAAAAACACAGGTGCAAAAGAGCTTATATACAGCCGGTATACATGTGGTATACATCTAATATAAGGATGAAAATTCGGTCAAAGGCCCAACGATTCACTGATTCAACATTTCAAGTAACGGACTTTTTTTAAGTATTTTTTTTAAAATTGTTTTACTTACAACATTTGTGATTTTTCTAAATGATCATAAAATCATGACATAACAAACAACTTTGTTTATCACAGCTAACAAGAAGTAATATTGTTTTTGTTTTAATCAACAACTAGAAAATTAGAAGACTAAATTAAGCAATGAAATACGAAAAATAATTATTATTTAGAAACTGACCTCCCAAAATTGTCAGGCTCAGAGCTTTTTTTATCAAGAGAACGCACCACTGAGAAGTATTTTTCTGTTAAAACACATATAACAAAGCAACTTATCTTTGTAGTTACATAAAAAAGTGACATGGTTAATATAACCTCTACATAAAAGAATTCAAATTATAAATACAGATTTGAATACTTACAAAAGCGCCTGTAAAACTGAGGTAATCTGTTGGTCTTAACTCCATGGATACACCACCAGCAAAATTTAGTGTAACTCGAGGAAAGATCTCTGTTACATTATTTGGGGAGCTGTTCAAGTCACCAAAGAAATCAATTAGGTACTTAATAATTTGAATTAAATATTCACTTATCGAAATATAAAACATTAACCTGGAAGATATTAGATAGCATGGAGTCATTCCTGACATGATTGACTCGACAGAAGATGAAATAGCAACATTTATCTGTAAATAAATAAGTTAAAAAGAACAGTTGAGAGAATTAGTAAATTCAATGGTTAGTAAATAAGGAATTTTTTTTGTTGATAATTTCTGAAAATTTTCATGCGAAAATCTGCAAATTCCTTAATTCTATATTATTTACATGCAGATATGATTTTTTCAAGTAAATCTGCAAACCTTGATGTCATTAAACCCCAATATTTTTAGGAAATTAATTGAGAAAAATATTATTCAAGTATCATCTTCATAGGTTATTTCGTAGCTAATCAATAAAAATATAAAATCTTTATTTCTTATGTAAATTCACATGGAATTCCCAAGTAACAATGCATGCAGGTTTACCTCGAAATTAATTTTTGAAGCTTTACTTGAGAATTTTATTACCTAGACAATTATTTGGGGATTTTGTTGCTGTAATTTTATTCAAAGATTATTTCTTGAAAATTTGCCAAGGAAATTACTTAGGGACTTTAGTACTACAATTTTTTTTTAATAACAAAAATTTGGCCAACGCCCAAATCCTCAGCGGCAGCAGCCTGGGCCCTGCAGTGTTCAAATTTGGGCCAAAGCCCAGATTTCTATTTCTATTTTCATTTCATCTTTATATTTGCTACATTAAACTGTTTATCAAGTTTATTGCTCCTATAATTATTTTTAAAAAAATAAATAAATAAAAATGGTTCTTTAATTCTATTTTCAAATACCATCCTACTTAACTTCTAATCAAGCCTTATCATTCTTACAAATTTATTGGAAATTTACGATAGGAATTCTCAACCTATTTCTATAGCAAAAATCCTCAAGAAAAGTCTCTTTTTTTCACGGAATTTCTATCAAAAGTTTCTTGCGAATATTTCTTCAGGGAAAATGAAATATTCGCAGGTAATTTCCGTGTAGTTTACCTGAGGGAATTTAATTTGCCAGGTAATTATGACTACCTACGTATATTTTCTTCATCAAATTTTGTTTTTCAAAAATATTTCTTAGAAAACTAATTTGCATTTTCTTAGTAGTGCATCATAGCATGGAAATATATTTATTTTAGAATGAATAAAATGTGAGGAAGAATACTTACCGCACTAATAACAGAGTCGTAGGCCTCTGCGACAAGATAAGTCAGAGTGGTTCCAGAATCAAAAATAGTTCCTCGATCTTCTGAGGTTGCAAATATTGCTGGATCTATATGCAAAAGTTTTCCATTCACAGCTATGCTCTGCAAATCCACATTGTAATGCTCCCTGCAAGAGTAGACAAATTAGATTCTATTTTACATTTGAAAATATATATATATATATATATATATAAAATTATAAGTACGTTGATGGAACTAGCGGAGTATAGACCATGCTCGGATTCTGAATTTCACCGAGAACTAGAATACCTCCTCCTGCATTGTCGCTCTCTCCTTTCAAGCAATGCGAGAATACTTTGCCAGAAATTCCACGTGAAGAAAGCTGAGATATTATTGAAAGACTACGTCGATCAAACCCGAGAATTCCATCAATTGCGTTGTCTGACAGGACCAGACTACCAAGTTGAGTGGTACTGCACCTGTTTTTATTTCGAATCAACATAATTAGCATCCTACTGCATCTGATTGATTGCGAGAAATGCATGTTCACTGCTTTGATTCTTTTAACATTACTTTATATTGTATCTTAAGTTTTATTTGAAGTCTTCTTCCTTCCTCAGAATTGTTAAAAATTAGTTTTCAACTCTTTTTTTAACACTCTTGATGCATAGAATAAGTTCCAAGTATGTGTAAATAATTAATTCCTTTATTTATGTAATGTTTAGTTTTATCATATAATAACATAACATAGATTATGGATGAGTCCTAAAATTAATAACAGAAATTGGGCCAACGCCCAAATCCTCAGCAGCAGCAGCCTGGGCCCTGGACTGTTCAAATTTGGGCTAGAAGCCCAGATTTCTATTACTGTTTCACTTCCTTATCCGCTATATTGAAATTGTTTATCAAGTTTATTGTTCGTATAATTATTTTTTAAAATATTTGCTCATTTAATTATTTACTAAACCGTTTAAATTAGATAAATCTAAGCTCAATAGAGTAATTTTGGAAATATTGCACATCTCTTCATAGTTACTGAGTAGTTTAAATCTACATTTAGTATTATTTATCTCATAAGCTTAACTTGTTTGAAAATTTTAAAGATGGTTATTTTATTTTGAAATAAAATGAATGGACAAGTCCCAACATAATTGAGAATTTTATTCAATCTAATAAAGTTTTTTTTAATCAAATAGCTTAAAGAACCGATCCGACACACGACCCCGATACTTGATCCGGGACCTAACCCTTACTCACGACATGAGACCTGCATTCAAACTAGAATCCGACCCTGACCATGACCTGAATGGGGACATGATCCCAAAACATAAATTATATTACATGTGATTGTGTATACTTTTTCGTTTGTAAAGTGAATTTGGATGCTATCAACAATAGATAATATGAATTTTTTGTACATTTTTAATGTATATATTGTATATAAGAAAAAGAAGGCATTGATAGGAACGTAATTTGAACTTTAAAAACTATATAGATCAAACTAAAAAAATCTTATCTTTCCTTTTTTTTTTCTTTTAAACTTGTTCCCCCTTGCATATCAGTTATCATGTTTCTGTTTTACATGTCCTTAAAAATTAAATTATAAATAAAAAATATTTATTTACTAGTTTACCCTAATCCTATAGATCTAAATTATTTTGTTAGTTAATTGTATAGTTTGTTTAATTTTTTCGAAAGATGGAATATCTATAGTTCTAGGCTTCTTCTAGCTTCATGTTCCCTCTTTCTGAAGGATGTCATTTTTATTTTTATGTTGTAACGAAAGTTATGACCAAGTCCCCCCTATACAGTACTTTCTTTCAAATTTATATGATATCCTAAAATGACTTGAGAAAAATTCACCAAAAAAAAACTACTTACCCAAAAATGATTGGTGCTGAAGAGCTAGAGGTTGACGAAGTGCTTAAAAATGTGTCCAGATGCCAAACATCGGACACAAGATAGCCTATTGTACTACTTCCGTCCATGTAACTCAGGGTAAAACCACATCGGTTTGTCCTAGTACATTCGCACCCACGGGTTGAACAAGAAATGGAAGTGGCAGTTGTTGAGTTGCCACTATCATAAAAGTTCAGCTTGACCTGCAAGAACATAATAATGACGTTAAATTTTTTTTATAAAAAAAACTAACTTCTATTTCATAATTAGTACATGAAACTAACAAAATAAAAGAGAATGAGTTTTCTTTTTACCCCAAGTTCACTGGTCCGAGGACAAGTGTCACAAGAACTGCATGCAATCCATGAGATCTCACTCCCGGTATCAATCAATAGATTATATTCTCTGGGAGGTGATCCCACTTTCACTTTTGTATAATATATGCTAGAATTGTATAAAAACATGAAAAAAAGTCAGTAAAATACAATGGTCAATAACATTGGTTGTAAGACATTAAAAATGAAAAAAATAATAATAAAAGTCATTGTATTATATTAAAAATGAAAAAACTCTCACTGTAAAGTTAAATTATCAAAATATTTCTTAAATTTGTCCGGAGCTAAAAGGGCAAGAAAATTTATCGAAAAATTCAAAAAGGCAATAAAATTCAGTTAAGAACCAAAAGGGCAACATTTTAACGCCCAAATTAACGCCGTTGGAATTAGGCTGTAACATCTCGCAACTAGAAAGAAGTTTAAAATCTGGAAATAGTTATTTTTGGAAAGTATAAGGAAATCTGGAAAATTGTAAGTAAGTTAAAGTTGAGTTTTTGGTCAACTTCAAGCAACCATAACTACTAGCTCAGAATGATTTAGGTGTAGTTTCAGATATAGTTGGAAAGCTCTTGGATCTATCTTTCCAACGCCGCCAAGTTTGCCCGATTCCAAGTTCGTATGGGTGAGTTATGCCCTTTGGAAGTTGGGCTGTTGGATTAAGGAAATGTCAAATCCAGAATTTTATGGGGTATTTTAGTCTTTTCATTGCCCTATTATTTTAATCCATTTTTAGGAGTTTAATATGGGTCAAATCAAATTTTTGTCAGTTTAAGAATTTGAGATTTCACGCTAGGGCTAAGGAGAAAGGAGAAGAGAAAAGAAGAAGAAGAAAAAAGGGCAAATTTATCAAGATCGATCAAGGAACTTGGTGTTTCGCCAAGGATTTGCTTCTACCAGGTATGTGAGGCTCGCATAACGTTGGGATCGTTCTCCGACGTGCCAAGCATATTAATTTCAGTTTGGATTCGTCCTAAAAGTGTTTGAATGTTGATGAACTTGATGCTTATTCTTGAATTCATATATTGTTCTTGAATTTGCTTGAGTTGGGAAGTTTCTGAGTTTGTTACGTCACATTATAGAGTCGTTTTGAGTTAGGTTCTTAGGTACATTTGCTGGGTATCTATATCTAAAAGTGATTTAAGAAAAATAACCGATTTTGAGTGAATTGGGGCTGGAAAACGAAGAAGACTGACGAAATTAAGGGGTGGCAACGCAGCGCGCCTAGTGCCCAGATTTGAATTTTCAGCTTCACGTCGCGAAGCTGACACGAGGTGTTCTGCCTCAAAAAGACGTTTTCAAAACCAAGATTTAATTATGCCTCCGCGTCACAAATCCACCTTCAAATATTGATTTTCGATCTTTTCTCATGTTTAGCTATCTAGAATCATTCCTAAACAACATGAGATCTTTCCAAACCCAAATCTTAATCCTTGAATCCATAATTCAATTCAAGGATTAGTTAAGAGTCAAGTCAAGAGCAGTTAAGGTCAAAGTCAAGAGTCAAGTTAATATAAGTTCTTAAAGTTTTCAAAAGTCTTTCACAAATGTTTTAACTTTGTTTTAAGATTTAAGTTTTGAGTTCAGTAAAGATGTAAAGTTGAAGATCTTCTCTTCAAAGAAGTATATGGGGGCTATGTATTCCCAAAGAGATTTAAAAATGTTTTCACATTTTAATAAGAACGATAACTGAGATTTCCAAAGAGCCTTCGAGCTAGTTTTCAGAAAAGAGTAATAGCTTTCTAAATGAAGCAAGAAGGGAAATTGAGATTTCCAAGATAGCCTTTGAGCTAAGCTTTTGAGCACTAATCTCAAATCACATAAGAAGTATGTTTTTAAAACATAAGAGCCAGCATATTTTGGGAGTAGTATTGAACACCGAAATGGGGAAGAGCATGAGTTCAGATAACTCACGTCACCATAAAACCATGTAGCCACCATGGGTAGAAAATGGTCATACTTTTTAGATGAATCCTTTACGCAATAGACTAGTGGATCCATTAGGCAGTTCAGGTCCTATACCTTTGGCCGGGTATAGGATGCGCTGGCAGCGTGAGGTAGATCGTTGTATCATCACTATAGCTCTTATGTGATGGTTATCGATTAGAGAAACTCCTACAAATGTTATTGTATTCATCTTAGTTTATGTTTATATTTCTCTGTTTTGGGTTCTCTATTTCTTAATGTCCCAAGTAGCTTTATTATGCTTAAAGATTGGTATTTCGGCTTTCCAATATAGAATACAGTTTATGTGTTTGATTGTCCTCTGATTTCGCCTTGGATTTTATTTAGTTATCTAGCTTAGTTCAAACCCATATTCATATTTGATTTGTCTTATGAGTTATGGTTTAAATCTACTCGAAGTGCTACTCTTATATACTAATTCATGTTTAATTTGAAGTGTTACCCTAAAATCTTAAGAAGCCTGCTTACACTTCTATTTAAAGTTCAAAAGCTTGAAATATGATATTTATCTCCCTTTTTTATATGGAGTCTGAAGCCAAAAGGGTAATTTTTTTCTTCAAAAAACATAAACGCATATCAAATGTTTATTAAACCAAAAAGGCAAAATCGCTGCCCCAATATCCTTCGCACATATTTAACTCCGTCGATTCCGCTAAAAATAATTCAATTAAAATCGCTACCCCAACGACGATTTTGTCGAATTTGTTTTTTTTTTTCTAAATTAAAATCGCTGCTCCCGCAGCGTATTTATATAAATTTTTTTTTTATCAAAAGTTGAAATCGTAGCAGCGATTTTATCAAAAAAAAATTTAAAATTGATTTCTTAAAAATAATAATTATTTCGTGTGGTTAATTACATTGGTTAAAAAAAAACAATTTGTGTGGTTAAATATTAAAAATGACAAAGTAAAACCCAAACACCCAATCAATTCTTAGCAAATTACAAAATCACACTGCCACACGAAACAATCAATATTAGTATATGATTAACCACCGACAATGTAATTAGAAAGTAGACCAATTTTTACTTGAACATTATTTAGCATTATCAAAAAGAATTTTTGATTTTAGAAAGTAGACCAATGTAATTAACCACACTAAATTATTAGTATTTTTTAAAAAAAAATCGATAAAAACGTTGTTGGAGCAGCGATTTCAACAAGTTCGATATAAACGATGTTGGACCAGCGATTTAATTAAAAATATTGTTTTGCAAAAAACTGTTGTTGGGGTAGTGATTTTAATTTTTTTTAACAGAGTAGACAAAGTTAATTGTGTGTGAAGGGTATCGCTCCCTCATGAGTGATTTTACCCTTTTGGTTTTAAAAAATATTGATATGTCGTTTATGTTTTTTGAAGAAAAAAAATTGTCCTTTTGACTCCGGACTCTTTTTATATGCCCCGGAGTTATTTGGCAAAAACTTAGGCTAAATATAATTCTAAAACTCAGTGCTTCTCGCTTAGTCATGAGTTATGCTCTTATGTTGTCTTAAATGTGGGTTATTTAATCATAATATATATCTTAATGCACTAGCTCTCTTTGGCAAATAATAATAATGTTGTAGTTATATACTAATACGGTCTTTTCGTTTTCTTATGCATGATTTGTTCCTTGAATGAGTCCAATTGGACTCATGTTCCCCTGCATCTTCATGTTGGGACGGAACCCAATAAATCCTCTTTCATCGAGTCAGCCTCATCACTCATCAAAAGGAAAGGAAACTAATGAACAGGTCTTGGAAACAAATATATGTCTTGGACACTAATATACGAGAAAAGTAGGTTATATACAAATGTATACATTAATGTCAAAAATGACTTAAAATTGGCCCAATGTTTCTGGAGAGTAAGATGGTTTTTTTTTCCGGCTCTTCTGACTATGCTTTCCGTGGTAGCTAGGCAAAGTCCAGGTTATATCAAAGCAGACTACTTTCTGATGGTTTAGTATGGGCTTTACGAAAAGGCGTAACTGCTCTTGTCGGAAGGGCAACAGCAATTTAGCCCAAAAGGCCCAAAATCATTTTCTCTCTCTTGATTATTGAATTGTAATTATTTATTTTTGTTTTGATTAATACTAACTTTGAATGTTTAGATTAACTTAATTAAATCCCATAAACACAAATCATCTTTTGATGAATTTTTTCATTTAACCTATATTTGCTACTATCCTCATATTTCTACATACTCCTAAATTCCTTCCTTCCAATTCTCATTTTTCATCTTTCACATTAATTGAAATAAATGTGAACTCTTCTCCCATTTTCTCCTTTGTCTTAGCACTTATTCATATAATTTGTAGTAATGCGTTCATGAAACAACATAAAGAAATAGTACTTCGGTAGTAACTAATTTAAAAAGAAGTTAATTGTAGTAGTTAAGATAAATACCCGATATTATTGAGGTCGAACGAGCTGTTGAGTGGAAAATTGACGAGTCCACTAGTGGTTGTTCGCAGAATCCGAGCATGTCTAGCCCGGTCTCTAGCCACTAATGTGTCAATCGTCGTGGCATGATTCTCTGGCAGGAGTCTCTCCAGGTGGAGTACTCCCGCAATACCTGAAAGCAAATTTTAAAAAATATACATTATAAAAGTTAAAAAAGTATTTATGGCAGGCAAGACAAGATCACTCTATAACCCTAATTACAATAACTAAATATTACTACAAAATTATATATATAAATCTATATATAATATAAAGCTGGATGTTAGAATAGTGATGTGGCATGCTTCATAGGCCAGGAAAGATATTTATCATTTTTTTTGAATTTTTTCCTTCATTTTTCTAATTTTCCTCTTTCTTATTGATTAATTTAATATAATTTATTTGTTGTATACATTAATTACACATCACCATTTTTTAGCGGTATCTAAAAATCTGAAAAGTCTCCTCTTATCTTTCCTCAACTTTTATGGTTTTTACTTTTTAAAAATAATACAGTAATTATTTATGTAATATATGATAAGACCAAAAGCCATCTCATTTATTTTACATTTTTTATTCATTTTTTTCCATAACTTGTATCTCTTCATCTTCGTAACTTCTACTCTTAATAAATATATTCATAGCTCACATTAAATCATTTTAATTATAAAAAAGGTTACCTTCTCTAATCTTCTTTGTGGCTATTCAATTTGTATGGAATGGGCATTGATAAGGGAAAATGAGTTTTCTTCTATAATTAATGTACTAATTAATTTTATTTGTTTTTGCAGCATCCTCTATTTTTTGTCCTGCATCGTCCCAGTTACTCTGTTGGTCAAGGTTTTCACTGTAACTTGTGGATAGGAGACTATTCCGTAAGCAAATCTTTATGTAATCTGAAGTATATTGATCCAGAGGTGAATTTGACATTTTCTTTCTAGACGCTTTTCAAATTTTAATTGTTGTTTGATGTAATATAGCAGTTTTTTCTGCATGCTTTTAAATTATTGTTTGATGTAAAAGGAGACAACAAAAAATTATCTTGTCTAGAAATTTGAGGATGGCAACTTTTTTGTAAAGAGATATTGCAATTTAAATGTATAATCAGTAACATGCAATTGATTTGTGTGTGTTTTATTGTGAAATGACTACGTTTTCCTTTCATCTATTTTAGTTTTTGTTTTCATTCCACACCACCCTATTCTCCAATTCTGTTTTCTTCCTTTTCTCTACTATAAACTCCTTCATTATTTGACAAAACAATTTGAAGGTCGAAATCTCATTCATTTAGTCTCTTAGCAAGTAGCATGTTTATATTAAAATTAGATGTGTATTTATGATTTCTAAATATTGGATCCACTTCGATCAAAACATGAATTGACAATAGTGAACAAAGGAATCGTGATGATGAAATCCTATTTTAATTGTCAAAAATATGATCACATCACATATAATTTCTTGCTACTACTGGAAAATATATGGAGCTGATTTTATCACTACTTTAATATATTTTCTTTTTCACTTGAATTGATTATTTATTATTGTTCTACAATTTATGCATAATTATATTGTTATATGTCATTTCTTTTGTTAAAACATTAAGCTACATGTAATTGGGAGGGGGAAGGGGTAATATTTATTGTATACATAAGAGTAGTGAAGGTAGTTTGCTATGCCAAAGGTCGCCTACTAATATTTTCAAGATTTGTAAAGAGAGATCATAAAGTAATTCTTTTATGTTTCTGTATAATGAGTTACAATCGTATTTCCTCATCTTTTAAATTGCGTATTTTAATTTGAGATTAGATATACATAGCATTTAGTTTGTGACAATTATAGCTTATAAAAAATATATTGATCATATTATTGTCGTCACAAAGAGATACTTAAGCAAATACTTAGTATTAAAGCAGTTTATATTTTGATGCAATATATTGACGATATTACAAGAATAGCTCATTTTGTATGCTGATGATTTTTTTTCTATTATTTGTTAATTCTAAGTAAAATTTTGACTTTTCATAAGTAAAATAACATGTATAGCGATGTTTTTCTTTTAACATTTTTGTTATAGACTCATAGTGTTGACGTGTTTATGTCTTTCTACTTTCACTAAAAGTATTTGCGGTGTTTTGATTTTTTTACTCTTACTTTAATTTCTTTGAATATTTAAGATTTGTAAAATATCTACAGATTAAATTTATAAATATTTTGTTTGTTTTATCTAATGAAAGAAAAAAAATTAAAATACCTTAAATTTCATAAAATATTTTTTTGATTACTTTCAAATTTGAATTCTCAACAGAAATTAAATCTTAAATTTAATAAGATTTTGTGACCGCGCGAAGCGCGGACAAGTTCACTAGTATATATATAAAGGAGAATGTTAGACTTGATGATATGACATGCCTCTAAGGGATAGAAACCTATTTATCTATTTTGTGGTTTTTTTGGCCCTTTTTCCTCATTTTAAAAGACAAAATATTACAAAATATTAAAGTATAATGTCGAATTCTCTCCTTATTAAAGAATAACATAAGTATGTATTAATGTCGCACAAAAATTCCCGCCAGAAAAAATTATCCCTTCGGCTTCCCCATAAATCATAAATTCATAATCAACATTTATTATATTTATTAGGCGAAATGGTCTAATAGATCCATGTACTTGTATGAGTTTGTATTGTGAACCCTTTTACTTAATTCTTTATCAATTGAACCCTTAAACTTAATAAATCACAATTTATCAAACCCTCTGACCATTGACTAATCTTATGTGGCATCAAAATAGTTGAGTTGGCAAAAGTGCGTGAATTCACTCTCGTTAAGGCGAGTGACTATCCTATTTAAGTTAAAAAATATTTAAAAAATAGAAAAATAAAACAATAAAATAATGAAACTTTTTTAAAAAATTATAGTAACTAAAAAATGCTTTCTTCCTCGGCCAATCGGCCCACCTCCATTTTTAGCCATCTCCATGTCTGTCCGGTCCATTTTTCTTTGTTCTTCCCGCTTTTGTGAGTGAGCAGCGGTGGTCGTGCTCGACCGAGACCACTAATTCGCAATGGAGTGAGAGAGACGACGCAGGTCAGTGGAAGAAGAACGAAGCGGTGAGGGTGGGATCTGGTCACGACAGCGAAGAGGTTTTTCGGTCAGATCTGATGGCCATGGTACGATGGAGATGATACGGGTGAGGAAGAGAGTACATGTGGTCGCCGGCAAGAGCTGCGACGATGACTGAGATGAAGACGGCGGCGAAGGCTTTAGATTTTGAGGGTTTCAAGGTAGGAATGGGGAGATAAAGTATGGAGTTTCAAACAATAAAGAATAAATTAAAAAAATATTATTTCATATTTTATTATATAATTTTGGTTAATAGTTTTAAAAAATAGTTAATAACGATAATTATGACATGTCATTAATTTAGATGACGTGGATTTGATATATCATTTATTTAAAGGCGAGTGAACTACACACCTGATAAGAGGGTTTAAAAATCTTCTTTTGATGGAGTGTAAGGGTTCAGTTGATAAAAGATTAAATAGAAGGGTCCATAATACAAATGCGTACAAGTATAAGGGTCCGTTAGACCATTTCGCCTAATTATTAATGTTATTAGTATTCATTAGTGTTGCACGTATTTTTTTATTATATTCCAGAAAATTCATTTCGATAATCCCCTTTTCCTTCCCAATAATTAGTAGTAGTTATTAATAGGTTTTAAATGTTACATCTCTTCACATTGTGGCAGTCAATAAAATGATAGAAGTTTAGAAACAAAGCTCCAACAACTTCTTCACTATGCTAGATGAAAAACTCATGATGCTATATTTTATTAGGTAATATTAATTATTATTCTTATTAAGAAAAATATGTCAACTGGCGACAACAATTATTCAAAGTATAAAGGAGATATTAAATCAAGGGTCATCAATACATGAATGAGTTCTGACTACAACAACTTTTTTCTCATTTTTTTTACCATTCTCCTAATCTTCTAAATATGTTTTTATTATTAAAACCAAAAAAATAATCAAAAATCACTACTTAAAATACTTCTCCTCAATATACGTTACTCATTTGTTTTAATTACTCATTGTTAACTACCACTTACTGTATTTAAGTCTCTTTAATTTGTTACGTTATCATTTTAATTTAAAAGTCTAAATTTAACTAAATAATTTGTCAATTAATTAGGGAAAGACAATTACTATAGAAGACAAGGAAAGATGAAAGAGGTTAGATTTCAAATAGGTGATGAAAATATTTTTACAAAATTTTTCTTTTTGATTATTTAAAAATAGAGCGCAATCTTTAACTAGCAACAAGAACTAGGGGAACAAGAAAATAATGAAATGAAATAGAATAAATAAATAAATATAGGAAGGATTGAAGGAACTAATGGTCCCAAAAAAAAGAGGAAATAGAATAAGCGGGTAAGAAAACGGAGATAAGAAGAGAATGATAAAAAAAAATCGAATTTCTAACTTATCTTTCTGCAAATTATTTTTCTTTCACAAACAAATTACCTCACGAATTTTAAACATATCAATTGAGACACATTCAATTTGACCGCCACACTTTTTTGCTATTTAAAATGAAATTTCAAAGTCAGATTAATGATAAACAAATTTCCATATTAACTTTACTTATGAGCAAAATATATTATAAATAACAATTTGTACTATTTTTATTATTAATATATAATATATAATACAAAAAATCATACCTGAAGAATAGTATTCTTCTGACGTCTTGACTAATTCATTAAGTTTCTGCACATGTGAGAAAAATAAAATTAATTATTTAATTTAGTTAAGATTAAGAAGCTTATTAATTAATTATATTAATTCGTCATATTTAATTATTAGACTTATTTTCCAATTTAATCAATTTCACTAAGTTCTGAATTTCAATTGGGTACGATTTCAACAAATATAGTCAAATCCTCAATTCAAAACCTAACCCTTTGATTATAAATCTAACCATTCCCTTCAACTCTCTTTCAGCCTAATTTTGGGCCTTTTACAGCCCCAACCGACCCAATTCTCAGCAACACCAAAACCCAAGCCCACCAACAATACAAGGACCAACAACGTACAACGATACAACGATGACAATGGAGCGGAGCCGG